AAAATAACCGAATAATAATGAGTTTGCTCAAAGAGAAAATTTTGATTTTTTCAATTTTTTTTTGGTTTGAAAATTAAAAATGAATGAATTCTTTGGCTTTCTTTCGGAATTGTTTCCGAAAAAGTTTTTTCACCTGAATTTTAATTTGATTAGATTCTGGTTTCTTTTTGATAACGATATCTAATGATGGCGTCTAATCACCAACAACATTATCTTTGTTTTCGTTTCATTAATTATTACTACAGGGTTACTTTTACAAGTCGATAAACAAAAAAACTGAAAAACAGGAAAACTGAAAAAAACAAGAAAAATCATGCAATCAACTTATCAACTACTAATCATCATTTATCATTGTAATTTTACTAATTATAATTTTTAGTTTCCAAGTAGAATGGTTAGTTAGTTTTTTGTTGTTGTTAGTTTTTTGTTGTTGTTAGTTTTTTGTTGTTGTTGTTTAGTTTGTTGTTGTTGGATAGTTTGTTGTTGTTGTTTAGTTTGTTGTTGTTGGATAGTTTGTTGTTGTTTAGTTTGTTGTTGTTGGATAGTTTGTTGTTGTTGTTTTGCATATATTTTGCGTGTGTATTTTTTTGTTTTTTTTTCGTGAATAATTTGATATCATCATCATCATGAACAACAACAACAACAAGGATAGGACAGGATACGGTTCGATGATATTTTTCAACTTTTTTTTTGCATTTTTTCCATTTTCAAGTCAAAGAATAACTCAAATGGCTACTGTGTGTTTAATTTCGAGCTAGATTTTTTCATTCATTGTTAGTTGGATGAAAATCCTCCTCTTGATATCTTTTGATAATCAAAAACTGGAAAAATTGTTTTGCCACGATATTTCTAAGCAAAAACATCAAACACCACGACACACACACACTTATATAATCTCCTATGATCATCACATCACGAATTTTTATTTTGTCTATTAAAAATGAAAAATGATACCATAATACTTTTTTTTTTTGGAAATCCAAGCTAGCCAACCAGCGACAACAACAATGGAAACGAAAAGTCAAATAATCCAACCAGCAACAACAACATTAACCAAGAAACTTTTTTGTTTTTGTTTTTTCAAGTTAGTTAATAAACAGTCATCATCATTATATAAAAAAAGGAAGAAAGAAGAATTTAAATTGGGAAAAAAAACAGCAAAAAAAATTAATAAAACGAATAACA